TATGCTTAGCTATATGGAATATATGGTATACTTTTCCAATTAATTACGTAATTAATAGACAAAAAAAAAATAAAAAGGAGGAAACTTTGACAATAATTAATTGCTGTTTACCAATAGGCAAGAGTCCTTGAGTCGCATTTACAATTGATATCAAACGTGGTAAAGATATTGGATATATAGCAATGATTGCTTAGGGTAAGTTTATGTAGATTGTATAGTATCGTTATCGTGGTTAGTAGCTGGATTAGTGGATTGCACCCCAGCTTTCTCAACAAGAAAACCCAGTACTTCCCTATAGGTGGAATGAATTATGAATCGAAACGTATGATATATACTGATTAGTAGTTAATATTTGATAATAACAATAAAAATTTAATAATGAGACTTAGGCGATCGAAAAGGCTACTAACCCTAACGATTATACGGAAATACGTTTTCCTACATTACAGTGGTCAGATGTATATTAGTGACAATGTACAATGCTTGTTTCACCGTGATTTTAGAGTTTTGTAGCATCAATAGTTATTTATGGGCTAAGAGAATTTAGGTTATGCTTTTGTTTATCTTAGGAAGATTTCTAATGATGATAATATTTTCCTTATGTTCGTTTACTTGACTAGCCACACTTTCTTATATACTTATTTAATTCTTACATTATGTTTGCTACATTTTTTATTTATTCCTCGTTTCTGCATCATGTTAGTTAAACTTTCTTGTTTACTCTACGTTTTTACATCACGATAGTTACAGTTTCTTGTTTACTCTACGTCTCTGCATCACGATAGCTACACTTTCTTGTTTGCTCCACGTCTCTGCATCACGATAGATACATTTTCTTGTTTACTCTACGTTTCTGCATCACGATAGCTACATTTTCTTGTTTACTCCACGTCTCTGCATCACGATAGTTACATTTCCTTGTTTACTCTACGTTTCTACATCACGATAGTTACATTTCCTTGTTTACTCCAAGTCTTTGCATCCCGATAGTTACACTTTCTTGTTTACTCCACATCTCTGCATCATGATAGCTAC